GCATTGCTCAACAACTACCTAAAATATTTATAGTCACTGGAGTGGCTAGGTAATCATATTTTAAGAATTAAATATCACAAATTTTGACAAATATGTTCACAATAAATATGCACAGATAGTTCACTATCTCCTACAAGTATACATCAATCTTATAGCATTAGTAACTTTGTACAAATAAGGGAAAAATATATTCAGCAGTGTTAAAGTCATTCAGAACAGAATCTTGTAAAACTATTTACCTCTGGAGAAACTTTTCAGAGTACATACATTTGTGTTTAAAAAAATATCTTAAAAATTATTTTCTAGCATTGGTTAAAATGACAAAGCCCATGTTTTTAAAAAATCCAATGGCTAAGAAAGTGTGACATACAATATATCTACAGGGTACTTGATTATAAACTAAACCTACAACTAAAACCAGACTTGAGCGCCAAGTTTAGGCTTTCCTTGTCTTTAATGGTGATGTTAGAGACTGATATGGTTACTAAAACTAGCTGGATACCATGTCTTTAACATACTGTACTATATCAGCAAATGCCTCATCCCCCTCATCTGTCCTGGCTGGTCCTCCCTCAGCAGCTAATGTCACAAACCCATGAAAAGATTGATAGTTCTTGTGTTGGACTTCAATGTTTGCATCTTGTAATCGTTCTACATAAAGGATGCCTTCGTCTCTTAAAACGTCAAAGTTTGCTGTAATAACAAAAGTAGGAGGTACTCCTCTTAAGTCTTCTGCTATTAAAGGAGATGCTTTAGATTGGGTCAAAGCTTCCAGAACAACAGGTGGTAGTGTTGTTTTCTGTTGTGGAAGCCATGAAATGCCTGGTGTAGACTTTTTTAGGAGCCCCATATACTTTGTTCCAAGGAGATGTTGTGAGTGATTCCCAGACAGAAGAATCTCCATGAGGTCTGTGGAGCCATTAAGGTATAGTGAAACAAATTTTACATGCTCTTCTTGAGAGAGTATGTCATTGACTGCATTGGTAGTGTATGATGGCAAGTTGAAGTCAAGGAACTGTAAAGCAGGATAGATGAGAATCTACAAGAAGAAGAACAAGAGATCTAATGACAAACTTGATCTACACATTTGATGCTAAGTCCTGAAATCTGACCCAGTACCCAGTGGTGGCAGGCAAGCAGTCTTCAGCACCACTTTATCTTTCTTGCGTCCATAATGCTGCCTCCTATTATTGAACACCTCAAATGCCTCAAACTGCTGTATAAAGTTTTAGCCACTCAGTCAAGTATTCAACAGAACCATTAACCCTTTACTTCCAGAAGTGATTAATAAATAACTTCTTGCTAAAATATCCATGTATTATCCAGCAAACAGGTAATGAGAATATTCAAATTTACCAGGTAAGAGTTCTTGTTATCTTGATATACATGTAACACCAAATTCTCCAAACTAATTTACAAGGAAATGTGTAACAGCTAAAGGGGGTTAACAATCAGATCTTGGGAGTTAAAGAATTAATAGGGCAATGATTAATTCCAGTTTCCTGCAAATTGTGTTTTACAGCTTGAGGTATGTGATTATTCACGAAGGTTTAACTGCAGATTTACTTCCATTTCACTCATGTAGAGGTTGCTTGCTTTAGGCACTGTACTGTCATTGCAGCCCTGAGAATAGTGATTGGCTTGAATCTCATTCTTTTTCCGATGATCAGGTTTTATTTTCTCAACTACTTTATTTTTGCTTCAAATATATGTTTCCTTTTTTATACATACCTGTGCTTTCAAATAATTCTGCCTACAATGCATCTCAGAGACTTCAGCCAGGTAATGAGAAACTGCTGCAGCCAAGTTTCCTCCAGAACTGTCACCAACCAACATGACTCGTGTGACATCAACTCCGTGGTCTTTTCCAGTGTTGAGGAGGCCAACAGCTACATTGTAGCAGTCATTAAACTGGATTGGATAAGTATACTTAGGAGCTTGCCTGTAACTAAAAGGAAGTAAGTATGCTAAGGTTAGTGACCTTTAATGTTACTTTGCTTTCCAATAATAGGCAAGCAATGAGGTTGGTGATTTACAATAAATACCAAATTTGCAATGCTGTCTTTTTTGCAGACCTGTCAGGAAACAGTTTTAAATTGTTTTAAAGCATTAAGAAGATCCCTGTTCTTGTAATCGGAGGATCAATTTGATTGTTTTTGCTTTTAGATGTCTGTTACAGTAAAGAGTGGCAGCAGGATGAAACAAAATCACAAGTTTGGCTGTAAGCCTCAAAGAGAGCACATTATTGAAAGGTGCAGTAGCCCCTAACTTCCACACGTGATTAAAAAGTAACTTCTCCCTACAATTTCGATACATTATCCAGCACTCAGATAATGAAAACAGACAAACTTATCAGCTAGGGACTTTCATCTTGATAAATCGCCAACTTCTCTTAATCAATTTTCAAGACTATACAAAGAAGCAAGAAGAGAGAATTTAGACATGACCAGTAGGAGCTTAAGGAAGGTGCAAAACTAATTGTGAAGTGACTGCAAAAATGAACAGTAGTGTTGCAGTCCTCTTACTTTTTACTTTATTAAATATTAGCTAGTACACACTTGACCATTGTAAATTGTTGAAAAACAAAAGAAGCAAAGTACATTTTTTAGTAAATTAGCCAGCAGAGTTTTATCAGCCAGAGAATTATAATAACGTTTCTTACTCCGAACTCACAACAATGACTTGAGCTGACACTGCCAGTCTACGGCAGAAATCGTCATATCCCTCTGAGGAGAAGAAGAACTTAGGCATTAATCATAGGATTATGATTAGAAGCTTATCACGTTCTGCCTGTCTGATTAGTTCTCCACAAGGGTGTAGCTAAAGTTTCTAACAGGCGGGAATCTTGCAATGATAGGCGGGTATTTGGGCCGAAGGCCCACTCTAGCATGCCTTTGGCACGTTATACCTAGATTTGAAGGTGTAAACAAATGAAATAAATAAATAACAATCTTCTGACAACATTTTGGAGAAAGAAGTAGTGCTTCACAGCTGGAAAAATTGCGTTCACAGCCGGGTAATTTTCCCGGCTTCCGGCTATTATCTACATCCCTGTCTCCAGAGGTATTTTTTCTTTTCAGTCTATTGTGAATGTTGTGAACTTCTAGGACATTACAAAAAGCAGCTTTTCATAACAGGAGGGGTATTCATAATGGTGACAGGGATGAGTGGAGTTCAATTCTATCTGTTGTCACACAAGTGGTTTACAAAATTGAACGAATGCAAAGTGGGAGTCTGATTTCTTAATCACAAGTATGATTACAGACATTATCATACGCAGGTCATAATCAGTGACTGAGACTGAGACAGAGACAGACTGAGACAGTCAGGACATTTTTTTCTTAATCAAAAAGGCACCTTTGGCAATCAAGAGGGCATGATTACTTGATACTGATTGAACCTTTTTGCTGTTTGCAGCAACAATTACATATATACAAATTAGACAACACAACATCCCGTTACCAATTAATTAAAACTGTGAAAAAAATTTGAGAAAGAATTTAGACATCAGTGATGAAACGACATACATAGACAAGGGGTGTCACCTGTCCTATTAAACTGTTCTATTATGAGCATGAGGTGTACACTGTCCTATTGGTGCTCAAATTGGGCTGTTGATAACCAATCAGGTTCAAGAATGTTGTTATTATAATAGTTTTGATTATAAACATATGTATGTTAGGGAATACTATAGCCTCTGGCAGAGAGCAGCCTTTTCCTCCCTGTCACAATGACATAGATGTAACTTACCCAGGCTTCCTATGGCCCATCCTCCACCATGAAAGTAAATTACTCCTGGTAAAAGAGTTTCTTCATTGGATTTGCTTTCAGGAGACCCCTTAGTTTTGTTCACTGGCTTGTATATCCTTACACGAACACCAAAAATTTCAGTATCATTTATTTCCAAAACATCAGAGTAACTATTGTTCTTGTACAATCCACTTGCAAATGCTAACACAGTTGCCATGTTGGAGTAATAGTTTTCACCCAGTCCAACAAAAGAGCCAATGTAAGCCTGGAAGAAAATCACTATCAGTCACCAGTGTAGTAATTTGAGCAAGGGTAGTCTGTATAAGTTTTTGCTAAATTCCTTGTTTTACATTATATTGATTGGCTGTTGGACTGAAGAACTATTTGTAAACTTCAATATAACTTATTCTGAGCCCTTTTCAAATTTCATTATCTTTACCCTAAATTCCCGAGATGTGTATAGAAATTCTTTGTTTAGGCTCCTCTACATTTGTATATTAATTCAAGAATTTCACTGTTATATATATATCAAGACAATGCCTTCTCGTTGCTATGTTTCCCATTTTTCATCACTCATTCTGAGGAGAGGTATCATATGAATCATTTCTGAGAGGTAACGGCTAATTTAAGGCAATTCTGTTTAAATGATGACTTCAGCTCCAAAGGTCATTAAGAGAGTTACTGTCACAGACAATGTTAACAATCCTTTGAAGACTTCAGACCCTCTTTGCAATCCCCAAATTGGTCTAATTTTGCAAGGATCTAACACTTGTGACTTGTTTTAAAGAGAAATATTATTGAGGAGCAACACTATTCTCCTGAAGGTGACATACTCATTAAATTAATGATGAATGGTACACAGTTGCCTTAAGAGAATTGCAAGTTAACAAAGCCAATATGGTTTTTAGGGTTGTTTAACCAAATGGTCATTTTGCTTCCAAGCAGTCATTCTACCCAGCTGGATAATTTTCCAAACAGGTGGATTTGATTGATTAATCAAGAGGAACAGAAATTAACCATCACACATCTTGCATTGTTAGTAATAATGCTCTTCATCTGGACATGTGAATCATAATCTAGGCCTCACACCTTAGGACTGTGGGCTGTGGAGTGATCCATGGGGTTGGCTATGGGTCACAGATCGTGAGCT